GCCCATGGTGTGCGTAGCCTGACCACCAGGTCAGAACAAAACGAATGCCTTCCATTCTGCCGTTAAGCTGGGTTGTGGGGTCCGACTCACATAATTTCCTGAATTTGTGACCGAGTGAAACGTACCTACCGAAAGCACTCTGTTGGCCATCGCGTATACGTAGTAAATTTCGATTTTGGCCGGCTCCCCTCGAAATGCATATGGGACGGCATTTCTTTTGGGCCTACTCATGTCAAATGCAAATTACAGGTACACTGTGCGTGTAGTGACACGCCTATACTTAGCATCACGCGGTGCCAGCTAACCACCCCGATCCCGCGTCTATCATGAAACCGGATCCAGGTGGGTTAGGCCGAGAGAACATGGTAACTGAAGCGCCCCTTTTTCAATTTTTTAAACCCATCTATTTTCGAATTTGTGTCGTTCATAGTCTACAGCCCTGTTTACAAGCAGTCTCTGGCGCTTCCTCATACACGATTTGTTTCAAGCATTTTCCCATCTGCTCTATTCGCCACCCGGCACAAGTACGGAAGTGATCAATATCCACCAAAATGCAGTAAACAGCCCCCCCCCGTGATTTCGGGTGTCGTTTCTTTCACCCCCTTTCTTCCCAGTCACTGTTCAATCAGGACGTCTTTTCCTGTGCAAACTATCGTCGAAAATGATGCCTTTGAACCAGTTGAGCATCTGAAAGCGTCAAAACCGTTCATGGAGAGACTAAATATCTACGAAGGCGCCAAAGCAATCGAAAATGTACTTCCTACTTATTTGCTGTTGTCAATCCGTGGCTGTTTCGTTAAATCCTTTCCTGGGGCATGCTAGACTGACTCCTATTTTGCGACGCCCTTCTGACTTGGCGTGGGCGGACAGTGTGTCTGAGATTTTAGACAGGTCGATCGTGGACGCACTTCGGCTGTCGGGTGTACGCAGGGTGAGTCAGGTACGCCTGTCGGGGGCATGTCACGTGATTTAGTCTCGACCACTCATGCCTTTGCTTCATTTCAAACAACAGAAAGGCAAGGCTTACGTAGGATATTCGTCAATCCACTTATCTCAGTTCGCAGTGACAGTTGGTAGCCTAGACAGATAAACTTAACGTGTAGAAAGCTAGTGCGTGTGAGAGGAGGGTTACCTTTCTGACATATCTCGCAGAGACAACCTACCTAGTAAGTGAAGGGGATTGCCACTCAGCCCAGTCGTTGTGACCGATAGGAGAACTGATCCAACATCTCGTCACCAAAGCACCACCAACCGTAAAAAAGTGAAAGAAAAGGATCAGGCCGCAGACTATCCCGCAAATTGCTTCTTACCATTCCTCACAAAACCAGTCTTCATTGGCTTCTTCAGCCCGGTCTATTCTCCGGTCTTAATCCCGGTGGGTGAGTTCATCATGAATTGGGTTTCAAGGTTCGTCAATACTGATCACTGATAAGAAGAAGATACGATCGCTGGGACAAGACTTTTATTCACCTGACGTTTCGACATCCGTCGCGGATTCTTCATCAGAGAAATCAGCAGGAAACCGTGGCAGGAACGGGCTTACAATATTCCTACAATATCCGTTACCCTATTATACTTTTTAAGCCTCTGCAGCAGACAATGGTTAGGGTATTTGAGGGCATGCAAGGAAGTGTCGGTAGTGCAATTTATGGGCGGGGCACGGATGAATGGTCTCTCGCGCCCCGATGTTGCACCTTGCGATAGGTCCTATTGTTCTCCTGGCTTTTCTATTCAGTCATGTGCCCTGACTGCACTCGCCGCACAATATAACGAGAACATCTAACGCCGTCCAAGAAAGATGACTAGGGTGGTTTGGGCACGTTCTCCACCATCCGCTTCATGAGCTTAATTATACCGCACTCGATTAGGCGCCGTTGCCTGCTTGGAGGCATCGAAGGGAGGCTAACTCGAGACCTGGCTCGACACAGTTCGTCAAGACATAGAAGCAGTTCTTAGACTTTCGGTATTCGGTCTCCGTCGCTGAAGAAGGGAATAGGTTGAGCTTTCCAGGTCTGCTGTCGCAGATGCTCACGTGTGGAGAGAAGTATACAAAGCATGCTATCATCGGGGCCGGCTAAATCAGACATGACAACAACCGTATCAAGTACGAGCACTTGACTGACTAAGACTAATTTTCTTGGCCCAACCCAAACGAATATAGATATGAAATTCTGTTAGTACGCCCGTGAGCCAAGCAAGCACCGCGGGGGCCTTCCTTTGTGTGCATTGGGCGGACTAGTTTGCAGCCAGGTGCCATTTAAGGACTCCGATGAATTTCAAGCGTTACTTTCCTTTGGGTAACGAGATGCCTTCCGCATAGTCCGTTGGGTGTGTTCTACCTAAATTATACGCCCAAACTTTGTATTGTCGACAGGACTATCTTTAGAGGTCCTTTTGACCTTTGACCTACAACAATAACCTATTTTTACATGTTCAGTAACGCGACTTTCCTTTTTTCGTTAAATTATGCCAATATAAGCTCGGAATTCTCTTCTTTTGTTAAATCCCGCCAAGATAAGGTTGAATTTCGCTCAATGGGTCTCAGAATCCTGAACAACAGGAGTTTGTGTTGATGGAGTTTATTCTATTTAGTACATTGAAACAAATATAAGTTTCTTCAATTCAATATATTTGAGCACTTCCACCACAATTAAATATTCATTTACACTCACTAACCAACAATTAAATTTTTGAGCACAAAATACATTAGGCAGTTGGGCGGGGGGAATAGATATTTATGAGACCCTGCAAGATAGTTTTGGCGTCTTTTCTAAAAAGTGTGTCTGTTAATGCAGTTGTTGGATTTGTCTCTTACAGAGTAGGAGAAACGCCCAAAGTGCTAAGAATCCTGGACACGGCTGGCACCTCCCAATTCTCCTCCCTGCACGATCTCTA